CCGTACACTACTTACTTTTAGGTGTCAATAAAACTGTTTAGCCATTGCACTTACTTACGTTGTACAGTTTTTGGTGCTCGTACATAACATATTATGTAAATTTGTGAACGTTGTCGTTAGTTACATGTATGATAATAATTATATTTCGTTATTCTTCATTTCACAGGGAAAGCAAGCACGCGAACCATTGAAAATCAGTGCGCTCGATGGCTTCTAAGTAGATACGGTTTGATTGTGGTAAGACCAACCGAAGTCTGATCATTGCGTGGGGACGTTTTATTGCGTATTGGTCATTTTCTCTTTGCACAAAGTGCACTTTAAAAATAATATTTTAAGATTCATCAGAAAGCTTTTCACCCATCGTCGTACCAGTAGAGTATACATACAGCCTGCGTCTTACCAATTTCGGACAGTATCTACTGGTGCGCTTGCTTACTTCCATACAGCACTATAATCGATCAGTTCATTGTTCCAATGAAGGGTGTACGGTAATAACAACGATGCATAATATTTTAATAAAGAAAAAAAAAATCACTCCGATTAATAATGAATTATTGATCAGACCCGATGAGCACTTACGTAAAAGAATACAATCAGAAGGGGGTCACTCGAAGCTACGTATCCCCTCCGAAGAAGCTCAACACGTTTCGTTCGATCATATATTTATGTACATGCGTAACGTAGGTACAAGTCGTTATCTGCGGCGAACAGGTCACATGCTTATCCCGATTACACTGCCGGTTAAAAATTTAATCAAGCCAACAGCTCTCTCTCTCTCTCTCTCTCTATCATCCTGTATTCAATATTAAATCCTCTCTTATTGATAAGACGCCCCGTGGTGGCCGCGCGATCCCGGTGACGATTACCACTAACGCGATTATTCTTGCTTGTTGTTGAAAATGGAGAAGAAAAATGTAATACGGCCACACGTTTGCGTTGCGCGTAATTAGTTTACATTTCACGCGATTGTGCAAAAATGTTGCGTCACCTCTCGACGCATACGCGCGCCTTACAGTTTTCACGTACAATGTACACGTTTTGTTGTTATGAGAATGAAGATGGGATTTTTTTTTTTTTTCCTTTTCTTTCGTCACATTTATCTCGGCAATCTAATCTCCGCCAGCTGATCGTTATCGTTGCTACGTTCGAGCGATGTACAGTGCTGTTCTTGAAAATGACCGAAAAGTCGATTTTTAGCCAATCATTTTACGTGCATCGAATACCGGTGATAACAACGATCCAAGTTCTGTCACGTGTATTAACTTTGTGGGTGTTTGTTATCAAGCATTTCAGATGGCGACACGATACGCTCGAGTCAAATTGCGGTCACGCGTTTTTAATGATCGCGAATATAGTGACATTTCCTCACTAAGGCTTGTAGAGTTGTGCCCTGTTTTTTTACTTACGTTGACTTAAAATGGGAATAAAAATATGACCTTGACAAATTTTATTCATGTGTATGGCGTACGCCGAGTTTTTTTTTTTTTTTTTTTTTATCATGCTCTACTTTTTTGTATCCTGAGAGTAACAATGGTGCACTATTATTCATGGACGTGTCATATTCACCCTAACGTGAGTATGTACATGTACAAATTTTCGGCTACAGGTGCATACATGTCAAGCCTCGGAAGTTATGAGAATTTACTGTACAGTGTAACGATTTATAGGCTTGACGAAAGCTTCCCAATCCTATTAAAAGTACTTAACTGTATACTCTAAAACTATTTCTCTACTTGAACAGCGACGTAAACTCTTATATTTTTGCCATTAGGAAAAACTAAATTTAAAAAACAAAAAAAAAAAAATTTTTTTGTATAATTTTCTCTTTTCCGTGATGAATTTCGTTTGGCAAATAAGTAAAACAGATAAACACACGCTGCTCCATCTCAACACTACCAACGGGTACATGCCATTATATTAATCTCTTTGAGCCAATGACTTTCTTTTTCCACTTTGTACGTTCCACATAGTCGAGTAAACAAAGTACCAATGAGTCACAAGAGTTCAATGAAATTTATTTATGAAACTACTTCGCACACTGTCGTGTACTGAGTATACATACGCTCGAGAGGGGAGGATTGCGACGAAGCCGCACTTGAAAAGTGAACAGAAACGCGTGCACCAGCAGCTCTCTTTCTCTCTAACGCGAAAAGAAATGAACAAAGTGGAGCAACAGAGGAGAAAGAGAGAGAGAGAGAGAGAAATAGGGCTAAGTAAACTATAATGCATACCACAACAGATGGTGCGTTTAAACTCTTCGCTATACCTCGCGGGGCTGCAATGTAAGATCGTATACGCAAGAATAAAAGTGTATACATGCGCGTATGTTAGCTTTATCATGCACACCTAGATTGCAGAATAAACATAATAAACTCGTGTACACGTTATGTGCAGTGCTGTACCTATATATGTATGCATGTTAAAATTTTTTGCCAATTAGATGTTTTGATGTGGTCAATTTTTGTTATTCCTCCGTTGTTCAGTACATGTAAATGCTTACGTGATTGATTTTTCGTTGATTCGCAATACGCTCTTACAATATGCTCTGAAACAAATTGACAATGGTACGTACATTTACAGATTTTCTAAAAACGATTCGGAGACTAGCAAAAATTGGGCAAAGTTGGGGACGAAATCTGTGTCTTCGTTAAAATGTACACCCAAGTACCCCAGCTGTGGAGTATTTTGTTCGTTCAATCGAAACAACCAGATGGAAGATTTTTCATTCGCGAACATCAGCCGCAAAGGTGCACGGAGTCTTATCTCTACACTGGATAATTTTTTCTCACTCGCTCCAACCGATCGCTGCTCCGTTTGCTTGTGTACATACCGCGATAATATGCAAACGACAATCATACTTGTGTGGAACCGTCTTTGAATTTTATCACCTGTACAGTTTGGTACATCACTGCTCGAGCTCAGTTCAGTGCGATTTTATGCTGTTTTTTTTTTTTTTCTTAATTCTGTGATAATTGCGCGCGTGTGCGAATAGTATGTGGGACAAAGTCAGCGAGTCCGAGCGACAAAATCCTTGTCCGAGAGAATAAAAGAAAAGAAACTTTTTTTTTTATGCGGCGCCGCTAGCCGCCGGCGCTCTTATGTACATACAAACTCGTCCGCTCCAATTACCCGAATGCCTTTGGTCGGTTAAATTTAGCGCCGGGGCTAAAGCTGCACAGGCGCCGATTCCCCTTGGGATCGCTTTGGCCGGGACTGCGGTTGTCGCCTCCACCGTTCGGTGTACTCGCGACGCGCGCCTATCACCTGACGATGAGCAATTGATAACACGCGCGTGACAACTTTGCCGTGGGGCTGAGCTGAGGTGGCTTTCGCTCTCGACGCTCGAGTGCTCGCTACTCTGTTGCGCGAAACGTGCGCCTTGCCGTGCGGTGGAGAATATGGTGCAAATCATCCGCTGGTGACTTTGTTACAGTTTTTTTGTTCAGTACTTTGGTGCTTCTTTTTTGTTTTACTATTTGTTGTTTCGGTGCGCCAGTGAGTGTGATTTTTTTTTCTTTTTTTTTTGGGGGTTTTCAAGTGCTCAGTGTTACTTTTGTGCTTTGCAGTTGACTCTTGGATGCACGTTTGGTCTGACGGTCTCGTTCGCAAGTCGAGTACGGCAGGTACTGATGAGTAGTTGTAATTTTAACCATGTGATGCATAAATAAGAGATTGGGGTGAAATCTTTAGGGTACGAGTATTGCCTAGGATTTGGATTCGTAAATCGATTTTTAAAAAATTATGAGAAACAGAAAAAGAACAGCCTCGTGAATTTTAACGTGATTTTGAGTAAATAAGGATCGAGGAACTTTTTAATTACATAATACTGGAAAGTGTTGGGATGAACTTTGTCCAAGCTAAGTCTCATTATTCCGTTTGGGTTATGTTAATGAATAATTTTTGGGGGAGTAAGTTTTTTTTTTTTTTTTTTTTTTTTTCTTTTCGGAAAAGTCTTCCGTTTTTTTTATTTTGTAAAATTTAGAGTTTTTGCAGTTTTGTAGCAAATCGTAAAAAATGTTTACATCCATAAATATGTTTCGCTCTTCTTGCAGCATATACTCGATTTGATGTTCATTTATTGCGTTCGTGTTACGTTCCAACGTTTTGTCACCGTCAATATGTTGAGCACATCATTGCAACCACCTACGCTGCGTTCTACTAAAAACTTTTTTTTTCCATCGAATCGTCGTGACACGATTTCATTGAAAAACTCGATCCGATTGGCGCTACAAAAAAAAAAAAAAAAAAAAAAAACCAACAACATATTGGTCCATCGCAAATATCCGAATCAATCATCGCTTGAGTTATCGATGATTTAAAAGAAAAAAAAAAAAAAAAACACTCGATCTATTGGTCGAAGGAGAAAAAAGGAGCTCGAGACATTGAGCGAAAAATAAAAATTGATCGTCTCCAAATCCACGCACAGACAGACCCGCTTATATGAGCTCGTCTAACGAGGAAAAAAATATATAATCCATCAGCGACGACCAGACAGAGCCTTTTGCGATTATCATCGCTGTCCCCGTGATCATGAGTACATACGCGTGTCTATAGGTACACATATAAATATAATAACCGTGAAGAAGACAGAGAGAGAGACAGAGCCACCGGCCGCCGACATATAGTCGCGCCTCGCGCCTCCTACTCACCAACCGACTGGCTATGGCTGGCTTTCTCTCTCCTCTTCCTTCTTCCCCACCTAATATACTCCGTAGCCCAGCTTGCGTGTGCCCTGATCAGTATGTCAGTGCCTGCGTGAGTCGCCGACGACAATTTAACCTCCTCTCCACACGCCGCTGGTCTACAATTTACGCATATATATACACACACCCCATACCTGTACCTATACTTACTCGATTTTTCGTCTATTTTCTATTCGTGGTGTACGTCACGTGTATTGTGTCATCGTGGGTTAGCACATGCCCGAAAGAACGCTCCTCGAGTGCGAATTTTCTTTCTTTCTTTTTTTTTTTTTTTTTTTTTTTTTTTTTTTTTTTTTTTTTTATTCATTCGTTCTTTCCAACGACAGCGTTTTGCTGCGTACGTAACATTTACGCTTTGTATACCACATTTGAGCACCTGTGTCGGTAGATGCGGCGTTTTTTGCCCCTCTTTATGGTAAGCTAATGTGGATTTTCAACTTTGACTGTGACTTTTTTTTTGCGTGGGATCGATGATCTAGTTTTTTAAGGATCCAGTGGAAAATTAAGCATTATAAAATTCATAACGCATAATTTTACCAACGTATTTTTTGTTCTTCCATTTGATGGATACATTTACTGAATTTTATTTTACACGCACTCACATGACAATTCGATTTATGATCAAAAATCGGCCCACGCAACTCATTATTCAAATCAAACAGACAGTCCGAGCGTTTTTTTTTTTTTTTTTTATAACCCTTCATCTATCGCTTCCGCCACTTCACGCTCATAAATAATCATAGCGAGCAAATCATACGAGAAAAAAAACTTATTCAATTACTAACAACATGTTTTTTTTTTCTTTTTCTTTTTTTTTTTTAAATTTCCAGAAGTCGAAAACAGGCGCGACGACAACTACTGCATCGGCCACGGTGCAACGTCCTGCTGCTATAGTTATGCTGCATCGGTCGGTCTAGTGAGTGCGAAAGATAAGAGAAGAAGGAAAAAAGGCTCGGTTCTCTCGGTATATCGTGCAACATTAAAAAGTGCCACTATAGGAGTAAAAAACGCGTTGTAAAAATTAAAGGGAAAAAAAGTGTCGGAGGAAAAAATAAACATTTCTCTGTCGCGACATTGGTAAATCGCGAGTGTGCAGGCAGTGCAGGCACCAAAACGAGGAGAGGTAGAAGAGAAGGAGGAAAGAATAAAGATCAGCGAGCTGTCTTACGCAACAGGAGGAGGGACAAGATGATGGAGACACAAAATTACTGGGAGGACAACTCCACGCACTCCATGCCAATGAAATACGAGAGGTGAGTTATTTTTATTTTTTTTTTATTTTATTGATCATTGTTGTCCACTGTGATTTTGCTCGTCTCCCTTTGTTTTTTCGATTTTTTTGTCGACTGTGGCGGCGTTTGCTCCCGTATCAGTAGAAACAGACGAGTAAGGCAAGCCACTCGCCGTCAACAGAGTAGGTACACCTCCATCAGGTTATCTCGTTGCGAAGGTACAAATATAACTCGTTTATCGTCAAATTGTTGAATATTTTTTTCTTCTTTTCAACATTACCAATCAATTGTTATTCTCATGAGAAGCCATAACGAAAAGCCTACGTCCCTCATCGATAAAAAAGAAAGTAACATTGGAAAATTCGCAGTCACATACAAGTGAGGTACAGTTGAAAAACAATCCTGTTGTCTTCTTTTCCTCGAGAGTGATTCGAGGTGATAATTCCCACTCGGGTATATTTAGAAACAAAGTAAGTGGGTCAAAAAATTTTCGAGGGAAAAAGCCGAGTTCTACGCATTATTTTCATCCTCCCTGCCTATATTTAACCGTGAAATTCCCAAAGGGGATGCAAATGTCTCTCGAGTCACCCACTTACCGATCTGTACGTGATCCCACGCGGTGAAAACGAACGATTGAGATTTCCATTCATAATATTAATTTCGAGTTGGCGCGAGGCAGAGAAAATTAACAATAACGGCAGTCAACAGCGAACGCGAGTGCAGATGTATACGCGCGAAAGAGGAGCCGATCACGGCGCGTGACTTGCATCGCGTGATACACACGGCTCGCTCGATGAGAGTTTACATGCATGTGTGTGTGTGTGTTGGGCGTGACTCCACTCTCTCGTGCACGGTGTATCGGCGAGCTTTCGCGCGAAGCGCGTACGCGGAAACGCCCGGTTTCACTTTCCTCGGTTAATTGAATCGATCCTTTTGCGATCGATTACTAATTAGGCGACGACTGGGATTTGCCGGAAGTTGCCGTTCCGCGGCCACATGCGCGAGCTGTGCGTGTTTCTTGATCTTTAACCCAACGACGTAACTGTGACGTAAAGGTAACACTTTGTTTTGAAAATTCGTGCACACGTGTGTTCGAATTATTGTGTGGCTGTACTTGAAAAGCGTATGGATCCTGTAACGAAATCAACCCTTGGTAATTAACACGGATATATATTATGTTATACACGTGTGTGTGGGTCAAAGCAAACACTTATCTATAACGAAATACCTGTACTACTAATTACTTTTAGCGAGATTTACGAAGCAGTTGGTTGTTGCGTGGCAAAAAAAGTTCGCAGTAGCGAGAAGGCGAGAAGGAAAAAAAAGAAGAGACTCGTGAAGTACGGAAAACTACTAAGCGATCATCGTTATCGCGCGACGAGTGTATAAATATACTCAGGTGCTCGACTTTTACTTCGGACCTAAAATGTGACAAAACGTTTGCGCCAATTTTGGCCAGCACATATTGTATATATAAATATGCTTGTCTCGTGACCCTATCTTTTTCCTCCCGACGATCGATTTTCTGCTCGAAAAAAAAACGGGGAAAGAAATTTACGTTGGCATTAATCATTCAGAGTGTCGGAGGTTAGACGTGTCACGCTTCGCATTACACCTAATGTGTTGTGTAATCCGTGATGGACGCGAATAGTACTTCTACGACCGATATCGGGTGCGGGTTGAAATTGTAGTTTCAGTGGTACGAGCTGAAGTTTGACTTATTGGGTGTATCACTTGAAGAGTTGCATCTATTGTGATAAGTCTATTATACGGAATCATTAGGATATGTGTACATTACTAAAAATTTTATCATTAGAATCTAAGGATGCCTGGTGTGATGAATTTCAAGTAACAGTATCGAGTTTGTTGTGTGTTTTCACGAAATGCTTCTATGAGGTGATTCGAGTGAAAAATGAATGATGTGAATGGCAGAAAAACCCTATATCGTGCCTGAAGTAACAGACGTCTGGTTGGATGGAAAAAAAGAGCTGAAAGGTTCATGGCCGCCAGAAGTGAAGATAAAAATAGAAAGAAAGACAAAAAAAGCGGAAATTTTCGAGGCCGTTCTCGCTCAGGCGGCGAGCCTTGGCTGCCGATTAAACGTGCACGTCTCTAATCTCTGCCGTTTCTCACACTGGCCCAACGTTTACACAACTTGTACACATCGCCCCCTCCTCCTCCTCCGCCCCCTTTGCCGTGTGGTCTACTTTTTCCCTTCCACTTCGGCGAATGTCGAAAAAGTATTACCGTCTATCGCGATCTGACTGGCTTTTACAAAATCGGTTTATCCCAAACGAAAAAAGATAATAAATTTGGAACGCTTATTGAGCTTCGTGACCCTAATGATTGCAATCAACGGCCGCTTGGCTCGGAAATGGGCTTCTTTGTTGTTTGCGGCCCATGTCCCTGGAGGCTATAGTAGCTGTATCATTTTTTCTTTTCTTTTTTTGTTTGCTCCGAAGTGAAAATAAAAATTTTGTCCTTTACGTTCACCTTCAACTTGGTTGTAAATTATATACTGTACAGAGATGGAAAGGGGAAAAGAATGTGTTCCTTAAATAATTTAGAGTGGTGGTTTACGGTGAATAACGGTTTCGCGAAATATACAGGGTTCATAATTAATTTGTTACGGTCAAATAGCATTGCGGGGCACGCATCGTTGGACGCAACTTGTGCGAAAAATCATGAAAAATAAATGAAAACAAATTAATGATTCGAAAAAAAGGGGGAAAAAAAGGAACGATGAGTTGAATGTGTTCTACAATCGAGGTACGTGGAATACGTGTATACTTGCTACAGTAAGACCTTGATGATTATCAATCGAGCGTAAAATCACCTCTAGAAGTCTGATGTCAAGTGCGTCACAAGTTCACGCGCTTCAATATTTAATACAATCCATACTTCCAATGCTCCCAATCACCGCATTTGCAGGTGACGTGCTCGTTGTTATTCTACGGATTTACGCTGCATTGGTTAATTGCATATAATCCTGAAAATAAAAAAAAACGAATCATAAATGTGTATATGGTTTTATAAACCTTGAGGGATACATCTACAATAGGCTGGTCGACGAGCCGACAGTTAACTGCGCAGACTTTCGAGAAGGAATGCTTTATACATTTTTTATCAAGTCTTTTTTTTTTTTTTTTTTTTTTTCCCTTTAAATATTGATTTTAGCCGGCAGCTGTATTAATGTCTGTGATCGTTGTCAACACTTACGATTCAGGAAATCCCGGTCGTTAAGACCATACACTTTCAATAGCGCATCTGGGCGCCTTTTACGTGCACCGTTTAGCATATTTTACGAATAAAAATTATTGCAGACATAGTCGTACGCGCGGGTGGAGCGAATCGATCCACATCCCCCCCGATCCTCTTTTATCGTCAATAATTTTTAAGAAATGCCAACTCTCCCGTGCTTCATCCTTACGATGAGTTGAAGATGTACACGTTTCCTAGAATAATCTGTTATTGCATTGTCGCACATTGGAAATTAACGAAAAGAATAAGGGGATATATATCTCTCGAAAATTTGAAAATCAGATCCTCGTGGCAACACGAAATTTGTCATTATGATCCAAGTTAAGAAACAATTGCGAGCTTTTGTAATATTTTTTGATGAGTAGGTATGTTGAGCCTCAACAATCCAAGATTTTAATTGGTAGTAAGCATTAAATTGGAATATAAAAGAGAACAAAATTGTTTATATGTAGGACAGAGTGCGCTTGACACATTTGTTTTAGGGTGACTTGGCGGAACATTGTCTTATCACTTCCAAAGGCATCACAAAGTATACCATAAGTGTAGATGACGGCGCCGTTAGTTTTGTTATATTGTTATGTTTTCATACTCCTATTACTATTATCGTAACAGTGAGGTTGTCAAAGTCAAAACAAATGGTAAAAACGGCTTTTCCCGTGTAATTACCAGGCATTATCAGTTGCAAGAATGTTGGTGGCAATGACATTACATATCAAATGTCATTGAGTTGTATATTCAACCAAGTGTAATTTATTTGTACCCGCAAAATCCTTAAATTTAACCATAAAATTGATCTTATATTAGTTCTGATAATTTCAGCCCTCCTGTACAGAGATTTTTATTTCTACTTCTAGGATTCCCACTCTAATTGTCACAAATACCCCACGTGCCTCATATACATACATATACTTAATTACATAAAAGTAGAAAAATACAGTGCATAATATACCTCTCTTAGGTCAGTACACTATAATATATATATGTAAAGAATTATACTTTTTTACATGTTATAAACTATATCTAATATCTCGCTGTCATACTCAGAGAGGGCGCTGGCATTCGTTATCAGAAATGCTACGCACTTATTGCGGTNAAATATAGATACTCATTGTGCTTTCGACTAATTAATTTCGTATTATCTGCCGCGTCAAGTTGTGGTTAGTACTACTGAACACTAACCTGAACATATTGTGGTAGAAGCGATCACAGTGGTATCCTCAATTTGATCGTAATGTGTTTACTAGAATCTGTTCAGTTGAAAAAAAAAAAAAAAAAAAAAAAAATATGCGACGACGCACACACGTTATCGAAGCTTGAAACTGCCGATACCCAGGGAGGTATTATACCGAGGAGAAAAACAAACCGATGTCCGATGTGTTAATGTTGTACGCTCGATAAGGTTATTCGCGAGTACATACATCTTTTTTTTTCTCTCTCTCTTTCTGGTCATCAACCTCGGATTAATTAGCTCGTATAGAAACGTTGGCGATGATATATTCCGGTATCCATCTGTATACGTGAGGCGGTGTCTATAATGTTTGTTTTACAATTAAATGGTCATTATATGACTCCGAGAAAATACATGCATGTGTGATGTGTATTCTCTATGAAAAAAAAAAAAAGAAAAAAAAGGCAAAGACCTCATTTGCAGGCTCGCGTTCGTTCAACCTGAAAAGCACACATGTGACACTGACGTCGGCGCTATTGCGTCCGTACACGGGATAAGCCGATTCAACGAAATATTCCACGTCATATAACGC